TTAATTCAACTGAAACTCATGAATCAAAAAGAGTCTATTTATAGATTCTGAATTTTGCACAAGCCTGATTAGTCACAGGACTTGATTACTGCTGCCTGGTGTCCTCTGTTCATTTACAGTACCTTTGTTCTTTGTTAAAAAGGACCCAGCAAGATTCATGACTTCGGCAAAGTTTGCTAGTTTTATCTGAACATGAAATTGTCAAACTGTACCATCAAATACAAATCTTATAAATTCAATGAAAATATATCAATTTAACTTGACTTACTCTATAAATTTCACCTCAAAATATCTAATTAATGTTCAGTTTAAAAAAATGTAGCATAGGTCATTTTCACATGCTGAATATAATTTTGATAAATATTATTAACTAGTTGTAATGTATAAGAAGAGTAAGCAAGAAAAGACACTGTACTGGAATTTACTGCATATTTAGTAAAGCAACACAATGGTCTTCATGTAGCGGCCCACAATCTAAGTACAAGATTCATGCTTCAGCACAATAGCAACCACAAATATGGCAACAACACAAACTCTTCTATATATGAAAATTCAACACTAGCGAGTATGCCCTGCACTTAGTAACATTTCATCATATAGTATTCTGATCCAATCCCATGCAAATTATGTCTATGTTGGGACCCAGAAATCCACTATCCAGATCCAGTAATGTATGTCTAAGAGTTTGATGCAACTCTTTCACTATGATCCATATCTCAGTGGTAATGGGCATAAAAATACATATAAAAATTAAAAATATATCATACCGTAAAGTTTCTTACCTCCCCAGAATCTCTTCTCCTGCGATCTGGGATCACTAGAGTATTTCCATTACTGCGCGGGACTATAGTAGAGCCAATACTCATTCTGGGTCCAACTAGCATGTACCGTTTGTCTCCAGATCTGTACTGGATGCTGTGACACAGAGTCCCGTCGTAATTTGTGTCCTGTAAGTACTTGGACGAATAGTCTGTTGATTTATAGCACTGCATTATAGTCAACACGATGATGCTAATGAGAAAAAGCACTGAAACCGAACCCAAAATGATGATCAAATAAAATGTCACGCTGTTTTCCTCCTCTTCTTTTACTGTGTTTTTCACATCAGAAGTTGCAAAAGCCTCTTTGGGCTCCACAACTTTGACAATCACAGTCGCTGTCGCTGAGAGTGAAATGTTCCCATTGTCTTTGACCAGTATGAGCAGTTTATGCTGGGCCTCGTCTGTTTCTGTGAATGAGCGAAGGGTCCTTATCTGTCCTGTATAGCGGTCCAAACCAAAGAGACTGTGGTCACTAACTTCCTGCAGTGAAAATAATAACCAGCCGTTGTATCCTATATCTGCGTCATAGGCTCTGACTTTAGTCACCAAATGACCTGCGTTCACATTACGGGGAATCTCTTCCACACCCTCAGCAGAACCGTTAGCGCTGACTGGATATAAGATCACTGGAACGTTGTCGTTCTGATCCAGAATAAACACATTCACTGTCACGTTACTGCTCAGAGACGGAGTTCCAGAGTCTGTAGCAACAACTTGAAACTGGAACATTTGAACAGTTTCAAAGTCAAAGCTCTTTAGTGCATAAATCTCTCCATTTTCAGAGTTAATATTAATGAAAGATGCATATTTGTTTTCATCTCCAGGGTCTCTCCAAATGTTATAGTGTACAACAGCATTTTCATCTAAGTCACGATCAGAAGCAGACACAGAAAACAAAGATTTTCCTGGAATATTGTTTTCCATCACATAAAAAGCATAGGGTGAAAGTGAAAATGCTGGACTATTGTCATTTACATCCGATATCTGCACAGTTATAGTTTTAAATGAAGACAAAGGTGGCTGCCCGGCATCTTTGGCTACTAACATGATGTCATAGCGAGGCACAGTTTCTCTATCAAGAGATGAGGCTGTGACCAGTGCATAAATGTTATATTGGGATGATGCCGTTAGCCTGAAAGGTACTTCTTCAGTTATGTAGCACAACACTTTTCCATTTACACCAGAGTCCAAATCACTGATGCTGATTAAAGCCACTGTAGTTCCAATTTTAGAGTCTTCAGGCACTGCACTTGAAAAAGATGTGACTTCTATCTCGGGTACATTGTCATTTACATCAATGATTTTTATGGTTATACTCTTATCTGATGTGAGAGGAGCGCTTCCTTTGTCTGATGCTTGGATATCTATTTCAAAGTTATTCATCTCTTCAAAATCTATTTGACCAATTATAGTAATTTCTCCAGTCCTGGAGTTTAAATCAAAAAGATGTATTAGCCTACTGTCTATATCCTTTCCAAACGAATAAAAAACTTCTCCATTTGGACCATCATCCATATCAGTAGCATTAACCTGTATAACAGTTGTGCCCACAGGGACATTTTCTTGAAGCGTTACAGAGTAAACTTCTTGTGTGAAAACTGGCGTATTGTCATTAACATCTAAAACGTCAACTATTATATCCATTGTCCCAGACTTTGGGGGTCGCCCTCCATCAAGCGCCGTGAGGACTAGCTTGTGTCTACGGCTTGTTTCTCTGTCTAAAGGCTTTTGAAGAATTAAAAAGGGCATTTTGCGATCTTCTCCGCGATCTTTAACCTCTATGCGGAAATTATCATTATGACTGAGTTTATATTGTTGAACAGAGTTCATTCCGCCATCGGGATCCCGCGCCGCCTGTAACTGATACCGAGCTCCAGGTAGGGCTGATTCCGATATTTCCAACCGCTTTTCTTTTTCCGGGAATGTCGGGGCATGATCATTGACGTCCACAATTTCAATCGACACATAGTGGATCTCTAAAGGGTTTTCTAGTGCGATTTTTAGATTGATGACACACGAGCCGCTTCTCTCGCACACCTCCTCGCGATCTATTTTCCCATTTACACTTAAAATCCCGTCTTTCTGATTTACCGTGAACAGCGAGTCGCCTGAGGTTGAAACGATCCGAAATCCTCTCTCCTTTAACGTTCTGGTATCGAGACCTAAATCCTTCGCAAGGTTTCCGACCGCAGATCCTTCTTTCTGCTCCTCAGAAAGAGAATATCGTATTTGTGCGCATACCTCTCTCCAAAGCAGCATTCCCAAAGCCATGAATGTAAGTCTGACGCGCCATGACGAACGCGCCCTTTGTTGCATTTTGCAGGAAATCAAAACGGCGTTTAAAGATGTTCCACTCTAAAATGTTGACCTATAACAAAGTTAAGCGCTGACCATAAAAATCATGGTTTATGTTCGAAAATCCTTACGTACGAAGCAGGTAGCTCTTGGCGAATGTGCAGGCAATGTCCTCGGCGTTCTTAACGAACTGATGAAGAGAGCGAATGAAACTGCCAACACACGATGCCACGTCAGGTCCGTAATTTTGGTGTGCACTGACACCATGCGAATTTACTTTTCACTGCAAACGAACGTAACTGAAAAAATAAACAATAGATAAGCTAAGTCGAATAACAGGTTTATCTGACAAATTTATAAACATTCTAAAAAAGAACAAAGTGGAATAACATGAACATTTAAATAAGTTATATTTAAGACAAGATATGTATGTCCAAATGGCGCACATAATTGATTTTAATTGTTTACAACCCACTGCAGTAGTATTGTAGTTTTATATCTCATGCCAACCAAAACAGTCCACTTTATGTAGCCTAGAGTTACAATCATAAACGTTGAAATTTTAAACAAATAATCAATGGCATTAGAGAGTATGCTAGTTCATAGTTCACTGGAAATGAAAAGTAATCATTTTATGAAAGTAATTCATTGTATAACAAACAGGTAAGTAGCTGGATCATTTGTCACTCGATATTTGTGTACTTGAAGCTTATTAACAAACATTCTAACTTTAATTCACATTCTAAAGCTATCATAGTATATCATATACATGGAGTTGACAAAACATGATGTGTAAGGTCAATAATTCTCAGAGTATGGACTACTCTATGACACTCTTCTTTTACTAAAAGCTATAGTACAAGGATTGTATAACAATTATTACTTATAAAATTTAAGTCTTAGTTTACTTAAACATATGTAAGAAAAAAAGCATAGACCACCATACTACTACTACTACTACTACTACTACTAATAATAATAATAATAATCATCATCATCTAAATAAATAAATAGGATAGGATGTACCATGAAATAAAAATCGTATTAATTAAATGAAAAGACATCAGTTTAACTTCACTTATTCTTTGAATTTCACCTCAAAATATCTAATTCATCTTCAGTTAAAAAAAAGTTTATATATTTTTAATAAATATTTTAAACTAACTGTAATGTATGAGAAGAATAAACAAGAAAAGACACACTGCACTGGCATTTGCACAGCTACTGCATATTTAGTAAAGCAACACCATGGTCTTCATAGAGGCCCACAATCTAAGTACAAGATCCATGCTTCAGCACAATAGTAACCACAAAAATGGCAACAACATGAACTCTTATAAATCTGAAAATTAAACACTAGTGAGTACATCCTTCACTTAGAAACATTTCAACATATACTATTCTGATCCAATCCCATGCAAAGTATGTTGGGACCCAGAAATCCACTGTCCAGCTCGAGTAATGCATGTATAAGAGGTTGATGCAACTCTTTCACCACAATCTATATCTAAATGGTAATGGCATAAAAATACACATAAAAATAAAAATAAAAATAAAAATATATCAACCCTTAAAGTTTCTTACCTCCCCAGAACCTCTCCTCCTGCGATCTGGTATCACTAGAGTGTTCCTATTACTGCCCGGTACTATAGTAGAACCAATACTCATTCTGGGTCCAACTAACATGTACCGTTTGTCTCCAGATCTGTACTGGATGCTGTGACACGGAGTCCTAATTTGTATCCTGTAAGTACTTGGACGAATAGTCTGTCGATTTAGAGCACTGCATTATAATCAACACGATGATGCTGATGACAAAAAGCACTGAAACCGAGCCCAGAGTGATCATCAAATGAAATGTCACGTTGTTTTCCTCCTCGTCTTTTACTGCGTTTTTAACATCAGAAGCTGCAAAAGCCTCTTTGGTGTCACGTTACTGCTCAGAAACGGAGTTCCAGAGTCTGTTGCAACAATTTTGAACTGAAATGTTTTAACAGTTTCAAAATCAAAGCTCTTTAGCGCATAAATCTCCCCATTTTCAGAGTTAATATTAATGAAAGATGCATATTTGTTTTCTACACCATCTCTCCATATTTGATAACTGACTACACTGTTTTCCCGTGTGTCTTTGTCAGAGGCAGACACAGAAAATAAAGATTTGCCTGGAGCATTATTCTCCATCACATAAAACGAATAAGGAGAAAAAGAAAACTCTGGAACATTGTCATTAACATCTGATACATGTACAGTTATAGATTTAACAGAAGACCGTGGTGGCTGACCAGCATCTGTGGCTTCTAATGTGATGTCATAGCGAGAAATTGTCTCTCTGTCAAGAGATGATATTGTCACTAATGTGTATGTATTTTCTTGTGATGATGGCATTAATTTGAAAGGTATGTCCTCAGGTAATGAACATGTGACTCTCCCATTAATTTCGGAATCTAAATCAGAGACACTTATTAAAGCTACCGTTGTGCCGGGTTTGGAGTCCTCAGGAATAGCACTTGAGAATGATGTCACTTCTATCTGAGGGGGATTATCATTTATATCAGCAATTTTTATAGTTAAACTTTTATCTGTTGTTAGAGGAACGATTCCTTTGTCAGATGCTTGAATATCAATCTCATATTTATCTTTAACTTCAAAATCCAAGAGACCGGTCACAACGATTTCTCCTGTGATTGGATTAATATTAAAAAGTTTACGCAGTTTATCATTGACGTCATGCCCTAATGAATAAACTATTTCGCTGTTCTGACCTTCATCCAAATCAGTTGCGTTCACCCTAAAAATAGTTGTGCCAACGGGAGTGTTTTCATTTAGCATTACAATGTAAGCTTCCTTGGTGAAAACAGGTGCATTATCGTTTATATCTAGCACATCTATTGTTATTTCCATAGTTCCAGACTTTGGAGGTCTGCCTCCATCTAAAGCAATTAGCTGCAATTTCATCCTTTTTGTAACCTCTCGATCGAGCGGCTTTTGTAAAATCAGCACTGGAACTTTGCCGTCTTCATCGCGATCTTTAATTTCAATACGGAAATGTTCGGTGTGGCTCAGTTTATAACTCTGAACTGAGTTACTGCCACTGTCTGGATCGCGCGCTGCCTGAAGCTGAAACCGCGCACCGGGAATCACCGATTCACCTATTTGTAAATGCTTTTCCTGCTCTTGGAATCTCGGAGCGTGGTCATTCGTGTCTATTACATCAACAGTCACGTAATGAATCTCGAGAGGCTTTTCTAATGCGATTTTTAGATTTATTAAACACGGGGTGCTTCTTTCGCACACCTCCTCTCTATCTAATTTACCGTTCACATACAAGACACCATCATTCTGATTTACACTGAACATTGACTCGCCTGAAGTCGAGACGATACGAAATCCTCGCTCCTTTAAGTTTCTGTAATCAATGCCCAAATCCTTTGCAACATTTCCCACAGCAGCTCCGTCCTTTTGCTCTTCAGAAATCGAGTAGCGTATTTGCGCCCAAACCGTTCTGCCGAAAACAAGCGATACAACAATGAACACGATTTTCACATGCCGCTCAGGCCACTGCTCAATTCTTCTTTGTCCCATTTTTGCAACGTATTGGTTCCACAGCAATTTCACAACGACTGTCCAAATATTAGTCCAATGACCACATGAAAGATTTCTTAATCCTCAAAAGATATTACGAAGAAAAGCAAAGGACAAAACCACCGAGCAAGCCACGCCGCTGATGAAAAAGATCATATACAAATCTAAATGATGACGAAAAAACAGGGAGGTACTCTTAAGGTTTTGAGTTTCACTTCAGGTTTGCACTGACACCTGGCGCTTTTTCATTGCATTGCTATTCATTAAAAGCTACAAAATTCATAATGAAACAAATTAACCATTTTTAAGTTCTTGGAGCTTGTCTAATACACCTAAAATATGCACAGAAACAGAAAGAATGAGACAACTTTGCAGAACAGAAAGCTGCATCATGTATTCAGCACCAAGGACAGCGACTATCGCTCTCACGGTTACTTTTACAGTTTATTCAATCATTGGGGCACAGGAAAAATTCCACGATAATATGTAATTCACACACATGTGTAGCTATAAAATTAAAATAAAAGCACTAAAAAGTATTAAAAAATAATACAACAATGCAGTCCATGAATACAATATAGCACAACGCTAGTCCTTTTCTTACCTCTCCAGAATCTCTCCTCCTGCGATCTGGGATCACTAGAGTATTTCCATTACTGCCAGGGACTATAGTAGAGCCGATACTCATTCTGGGTCGAACTAACATGTACCGTTTGTCTCCAGATCTGTACTGGATGCTGTGACACAGAGTCCCGTCGTAATTTGTGTCCTGTAACAACTTGAAACTGGAACATTTTAACAGTTTCAAAGTCAAAGCTCTTTAGCGCATAAATCTCCCCGTTTTCAGAGTTAATATTAATGAAAGATGTATATTTGTTTTCCTCGTTATTTTCTCTCCATATATGATAGCTGATTATAGCATTTTCGTTTGAGTCTTTGTCAGTAGCAGACACAGAAAATAATATTTTGCCTGGGACATTATTTTCCATCACATAATACGCATACGGGGAAAATGAGAATTCCGGACAATTGTCATTTACATCTGATATCAGAACAGATATAGATTTAACAGAAGACAATGATGGCTCTCCTGCATCATTTGCAACTAATCTTATGTCATACTGAAATTTCGATTCTCTGTCAAGTAATCCAGAAGTAACTAAAGAATAAATATTATCGTGTGATGACGGCATTAGTTTAAAAGGTATTTTATCGGATACTGAACATGAGATTTTTCCATTGCGCCCGGAGTCCAAATCGGTGACGCTTATCAAAGCCACTGTAGTACCAGGTCTAGAATCCTCTGGAATGGCGCTTGAAAATGATGTCACCTCCATTTCCGGTGCATTATCATTTACATCAACTATTTTTATGATTACACTTTTATCCGTCGCAAGAGGAACAGTTCCTTTGTCAGATGCCTGAATGTCAATTTCATATATATCTTTTACCTCGAAATCTAAAAGACCAGTCACAATAATTTCTCCAGTGACTGAATTAACTTGAAAAAGTTCATGTAAGTTATCATCAACATTATTTCCCAATGCATAAACTACTTGTCCATTTTGACCCTCGTCCAAATCAGTAGCATTAACCTGTACAATTGTTGTGCCCACAGGTGCGTTTTCACTCAATACAACAGTGTAAGTTTCTTTCGTGAATATAGGCACATTGTCGTTTATATCCAGCACATCAATAAATATTTCTATTGAGCCAGACTTTGGAGGTCTCCCTCCATCTAAAGCAGTCAATTCTAATTTTATGTTTTTCGTCACTTCCCTGTCAAGCGGCTTGTGTAAAATCAGAATAGGAATTTTAACATCTTCTCGGTCTTTAATCTCAAGACGGAAATGGTCGTTGTGGCCGAGTTTGTAGGTTTGAACCGAATTACTTCCACTATCAGGATCACGCGCTGCCTGTAGCGGATATCGCGCGCCTGGCAGGGCGGATTCCCAAATTTCTAGCCGCTTTTCATTCTCGGAAAACAGCGGACTGTGATCGTTTACATCTAATATCTCTATAGTGACATAGTGAATTTCTAGTGGGTTTTCTAAAGCAATTTTCAGGTTGATTAAACACGGTGTGCTTCTCTCGCACACCTCCTCTCTATCTATTTTACCGTTAACATACAAGACACCGTCATTCTGATTCACACTGAACATTGACTCGCCTGAGGTCGAGACGATGCGAAATCCTCTTTCCTTTAGTGTTCTGCGATCAATACCTAAATCCTTCGCGACATTTCCCACAGCAGCTCCGTCCTTCTGCTCCTCCGAGATCGAGTACTGTATTTGTGCCCAAACTGCTCTCCCAAACAACAGCGATACAACAATGAAAGCGAGTTTCGCATTCAGCTCCAGCTGATGAGAGCGTCTTCTTTGTTCCATTTTTCTGGTTTTACAAAAACCCGTTCCAACGGAATTTCACGATCAATCTACAAATATTTGTTGTATAGTTCCATCGTTGCTCACATTTACGCTGAAGGCCAGTCAGACAATAAAAAGACGCTGCACTCAATCAATCCTGACAAATCTAACAGCACCGGTGCTGAAAATGAGAATGCACACGAATAAACTGAGAAGGCAGAACAAGAAAAAAAAAAAAACTTAACTGTTTGACGTCACGAGTCTTTCTCTAGGTTACACTGACATCTCTCGATCTAACGCGTTAGTTACATTGCAGCGTCCAAAAACATTTAACTGGTGTCAAATGCATGTAGTTTTATCCTAAAAAAATCCATATAAACCATGATTTAAGCTGTGCTGAACTACCCAATAGTATTACATTAGATCGAACATATTGTTTTATGAAAACGAGTGAGTGAAAGGAAAAGAGAGAGGAAGAGCAATTCTGAAAAAGACCCAGCTTCCAAGACCAACCGCATAACTTTAAATTAGACAGTAGGCCCTTAAAACACACTTTGAACTACACAAACCTTAGAATAAACATCAGCAGCACAGGAAACTACAAAACTGCAAACAAATGGGGGACAAGGCATAAAGAGTATTGTATTGTTGAGAAGAATATTACTTTACATTTCAATCAGAATCTGGCTGAAAATAGTCCAGTCAGTTACAAAAACCATCACACTCTATGGATGCGCGATCTGGGGTCCGTTCACAGACCAACTGTTTATTAAAAGGACAAACACCATTAGAGACTGCAGGCAGAGTTCAGCAAAAATCTACTCCTATTGCAGTGTAAAATTCCAAATAATCCCTTCTAGAGCAGAATAAGAAGGGAACACACAAATAATTCAAATAAATCAGCCATTAAATTCCATGACCACCTAAATAGTAGTTATACACCGAGTTAATATTCCTGTGCTTTGGTAATGTAAAATCCTAAATCTAAATCATAAATAAATCCGAATCTAAGAAAGGCAGAGATACTAACGGTGTTCCATTTGAATAACAGTACTTAACTGAGCAGGTTCAGTACCACGGAGAGCAGCCAACTTCTGTCTTAATATTGTTTCCTACAACTAATACACAGATGCATAAGGCAATTGCTTACCTCTCCAGAATCTCTCCTCCTGCGATCTGGGATCACTAGAGTATTTCCATTACTGCCAGGAACAATAGTAGAGCCGATACTCATTCTGGGTCCAACTAACATGTACCGTTTGTCTCCAGATCTGTACTGGATGCTGTGACACAGAGTCCCGTCGTAATTTGTATCCTGTAAATACTTGGACGAATAGTCTGTCGATTTAGAGCACTGCATTATAATCAACACGATGATGCTGATGACAAAAAGCACTGAAACCGAGCCCAAAGTGATGATCAAATAAAATGTCACATTGTTTTCCTCCTCGTCTTTTACTGTGTTTTTGACATCAGAAGCTGCAAACGCCTCTTTGGGCTCCACAACTTTGACAATCACAGTCGCTGTTGCTGAGAGAGAAACGTTCCCATTGTCTTTGACCAGTATGAGCAGTTTATGCTGGGCCTCGTCTGTTTCTGTGAATGAGCGAAGGGTCCTTATCTGTCCTGTATAGCGGTCCAAACCAAAGAGACTGTGGTCACTAACTTCCTGCAGTGAAAATAATAACCAGCCGTTGTATCCTATATCTGCGTCATAGGCTCTGACTTTAGTCACCAAATGACCTGCGTTCACATTACGGGGAATCTCTTCCACACCCTCAGCAGAACCGTTAGCGCTGACTGGATATAAGATCACTGGAACGTTGTCGTTCTGATCCAGAATAAACACGTTCACTGTCACGTTACTGCTCAGAGACGTAGTTCCAGAGTCTGTAGCGAGAACGTGGAACTGGAATGTTTTAACAGTTTCAAAGTCAAAGCTCTTTAGCGCATCAATCGCCCCATTTTCAGAGTTAATATTAATGAAAGACGTATATTTTTCTTCGCTACTTTCTCTCCATATTTGATAGCTAACTATAGCATTTTCATTTGCGTCTTTGTCAGTAGCAGACACAGAAAATAAAAATTTGCCTGGGACATTATTTTCCATCACATAAAACGCATACGGGGAAAATGAGAATTCCGGACTATTGTCATTTACATCTGATATCAGAACAGTTATAGTTTTAACAGAAGACAATGATGGCTGTCCCATATCTTTTGCACTTAATGTAATGTGATACTGAAATGTCGTTTCTCTGTCAAGTAATCCAGAAGTAACTAAAGAATAAATATTAACTTGTGATGACGGCATTAGTTTAAAAGATATATCTTCGGAGAGTGAACAGGATATTTTTCCATTGAGCCCGGAGTCTAAATCGGTGACGCTTATCAAAGCCACTGTAGTACCAGGTCTAGAATCCTCTGGAATGGCGCTTGAAAATGATGTGACTTCTATTTCCGGCGCATTATCATTTACATCGACTACTTTTATGATTACACTTTTATCCGTCGCAAGAGGAACCGTTCCTTTGTCAGACGCCTGAATGTCAATCTCATATTTATCCTTGACCTCAAAATCCAAACGATCTCTCAAAATAATTTCCCCAGTGATTTCATTAACTTCAAAAAGTCTGCGTAAATTATTCTTGACATTATTTCCCAATGCATAAACTACCTCTCCATTTTTACCCTCGTCCAAATCAGTGGCATTGACCTTTACAACTGTTGTGCCCACAGGTGCGTTTTCATTTAATGTCACCGTGTAAGCGTCCTTCGTAAAAACAGGTACATTATCGTTAATATCCAGCACATTAATAAATATTTCTATTGAGCCAGACTTTGGAGGTCTCCCTCCATCTAAAGCAGTCAATTCTAATTTTAAGTTTTTCGTCACTTCCCTGTCAAGCGGCTTGTGTAAAATCAGAATAGGAATTTTACCATCTTCTTCTCGGTCTTTAATCTCAAGACGGAAATGGTCGTTGTGGCCGAGTTTGTAGGTTTGAACCGAATTGCTTCCACTATCAGCATCATGCGCTGCCTGTAGCGGATATCGCGCGCCTGGCAGAACAGATTCCCAAATTTCCAGCCGCTTTTCATTCTCGGAAAACAGCGGACTGTGATCGTTTACATCTAATATCTCTACGGTGACATAGTGGATTTCTAGTGGGTTTTCTAAAGCAATTTTCAGGTTGATTAAACACGGTGTGCTTCTCTCGCACACCTCCTCTCTATCTATTTTACCGTTAACATACAAGACACCGTCATTCTGATTCACACTGAACATTGACTCGCCTGAGGTCGAGACGATGCGAAATCCTCTTTCCTTTAGTGTTCTGCGATCAATACCTAAATCCTTCGCGACATTTCCCACAGCAGCTCCGTCCTTCTGCTCCTCCGAGATCGAGTACTGTATTTGTGCCCAAACTGCTCTCCCAAACAACAGCGATACAACAATGAAAGTGAGTTTCGCATTCAGCTCCAGCTGATGAGAGCGTCTTCTTTGTTCCATTTTTCTGAGATTACAAAAACACCGGAATTTCATGATCAATCTACAAATATTTGTTGTATAGTTCCATCGTTGCTCACATTTACGCTGAAACCCAGTCAGACAAGGCAAGGACGCTGTACTCAATCCTGACAAATCTAACAGCTGCGGTGCTGAAAATGAGAAAACACACGAATAAACTGAGAAGGCGGAACAAAAAAACTCATGAGCAACCGATTGACGTCACGAGTCTTTCTCTAGGTTTACACTGACATCTCGCGATCTAAAGCGTTAGTTACATTGCAGCTTCCAAAAAACATTTCACTGGTGTCAAATGCATGTAGTTTCATCAGTGGACTTAAAAACCATCCACAAAAACTGTGATTTAAGCTATGTTTTCAATATTCAATATTCTCCCATTAGACTGAATGTACTGTTTTATTAAAACAAGTGAGTGAGTGACAGGGAAAGAGAAAGAAAGAGATTCGGGACAAAAACTCAGCTGCCAAGACCAGCCTCACAACTTTAAGCCAGACAAGGCCTTTAAAACAAGCTCAGAAATGCACATACCTTGGAATAAACATCAGCAACACATGAAATCTAAACAAGGCTGTGAATGAAGAGGTGTTTATTGCTAAAAATAATATTAATTTACATTTTATATGTAAACATGTAAATATGTTAATTTCAAACAGAATCTGACTAAAACAATTCAGTCAATTACAACAACCATCACACTCTATGGCCATGCGATGTGGGTGTATTCACAAACCAACAGTTAAACACAGGACCAATCCTAAAGTAAAAAAAGTCCTGACCATATGCAGACCAAGTAACAAAACCTTGCTATAGAGATGAACAGGCACAGACAGACCTAGCAAACAAAAGACTGCACTTAGTGCACATTAAATGAAATGGAAACAGAATCACACTTTATTAACATGCCCCAATTATACATATATTATATAAACCAATGACAAAATGCTCTATTCCTATTTTATTAATACTTAATTTTTTTCCCTTTGCTCCTTCAGTGGCTCTATGTTAATATATTTTTATATATTTAACATACCTGTGCTTTGGTAATGTAAATCCCAAGTCTAAATAACAAATAAAATCTGAATTTATAAAGATAGAGATACTAACAGTATTCCATTTGAAAAACATCCTGAGCAGGTTCAGTACCATGGAGAGCAGCCAACATCTGCCTTAAGATTGTTTCGTACAACTAATACACAGATGCACAAGTCATTTGCTTACCTCCCCAAAACATCTCCTCCTGCGATCTGGGATGACTAGAGTATTTCCATTACTGCCAGGAACTATAGTAGAGCCGATACTCATTCTGGGTCCAACTAACATGTACCGTTTGTCTCCGGATCTGTACTGGATGCTGTGACACAGAGTCCCGTCGTAATTTGTGTCCTGTAAATACTTGGACGAATAGTCTGTTGATTTAGAGCACTGCATTATAATCAACACGATGATGCTGATGACAAAAAGCACCGAAACCGAGCCCAGAGTGATCATCAAATAAAATGTCACGTTGTTTTCCTCCTCGTCTTTTACTGCGTTTTTCACATCAGAAGCTGCAAAAGCCTCTTTGGGCTCCACAACTTTGACAATCACAGTCGCTGTTGCTGAGAGTGAAATGTTCCCATTGTCTTTGACCAGTATGAGCAGTTTATGCTGGGCCTCGTCTGTTTCTGTGAATGAGCGAAGGGTCCTTATCTGTCCTGTATAGCGGTCCAAACCAAAGAGACTGTGGTCACTAACTTCCTGCAGTGAAAATAATAACCAGCCGTTGTATCCTATATCTGCGTCATAGGCTCTGACTTTAGTCACCAAATGACCTGCGTTCACATTACGGGGAATCTCTTCCACACCCTCAGCAGAACCGTTAGCGCTGACTGGATATAAGATCACTGGAACGTTGTCGTTCTGATCCAGAATAAACACGTTCACTGTCACGTTACTGCTCAGAGACGGAGTTCCAGAGTCTGTTGCGAGAACGTGGAACTGGAATGTTTTAACAGTTTCAAAGTCGAAGCTCTTTAGTGCATAAATCTCCCCATTTTCAGAGTTAATATTAATGAAGGACGTATATTTGTTTTCCTCACTACTTTCTCTCCATATGTGATAGCTAAGAATAGCATTTTCATTAGAGTCTTTGTCAGTAGCAGACACAGAAAATAAAAATTTGCTTGGCACATTATTTTCCATCACATAAAATGCATACGGGGAAAATGAGAATTCGGGACTATTGTCATTTACATCTGATATCAGAACAGTTATAGTTTTAAGAGAAGATAATGATGGCTGACCCAAATCTTTTGCAGTTAATGTGATGTAATACTGAAACTTTGTTTCTCTGTCTAAAGGTGAGGTGGTAACCAATGAATATGTGCTATGCTGTGAAGAAGCTATTAGTTTGAAAGGCATGTTATCTTCTAAAGAACAAGTGACTTTGCCATTAAGTCCAGAGTCTAAATCAGAAACACTAATCAAAGCCACTGTAGTACCAGTTTTAGAATCCTCTGGAATGGAGTTTGAAAATGATGTGACCTCTATTTCTGGAGCATTATCATTTACATCAACTATTTTTATGGTCACGCTCTTATCAGTAATCATTGGAATTAGTCCCTTGTCAGATGCTTGTATATCAATCTCATAGCTGTCTTTGTCCTCATAATCTAATAGCCCCTTTACGGTTATCTCACCAGTGACGGTGTTAATATCAAACAGTTTTCTTGCTTTACTATTAACGCTTTTACCAAATGAATAAACTATGTCACCATTCGGGCCCTCATCCAAATCTGTGGCGTTGATCTGTATTACAGTTGTACCAATAGGTGCATTTTCATTCAGCATGACCGAATAAACATCTTTTGTAAACACTGGCACGTTATCGTTTATATCTAAAACGTTAATAGTTATCTCCATTGTCCCAGACTTGGCAGGCTTTCCCCCATCGACAGCAATTAACTGCAATGTAATGTTTCGAATAACCTCTCGGTCTAAAGGTTTTTGTAAAATCAAGATGGGAATTTTACCGTCTTCTCCACGATCTTTGACTTCAAGGCGGAAATTATCGTTATGACTGAGTTTGTAATGATGCACAGAATTACTTCCACTATCAGAATCGCGCGCAGCCTCAAGCTGAAATCGGGTGCCGGGAAGGGCAGATTCTCCGATCTCTAAATGCATCTCGCTCTCAGGAAAACTCGGAGCGTGGTCATTTATGTCCAGAATCTCTATAGTTACATAGTGGATTTCAAGTGGGTTTTCTAAAGCGATTTTCAGATTAATTAAACATGGGGTGCTCCTCTCGCATACCTCTTCTCTGTCTATTTTACCGTTCACATACAAGACACCGTCATTCTGATTCACACTGAACATGGACTCGCCTGAGGTCGAGACGATCCGAAATCCTCGCTCTTTTAAGGTTCGATGATCTATGCCCAAATCCTTCGCGATATTTCCCACAGCAGCTCCGTCCTTCTGCTCCTCTGAGATTGAGTACTGAATTTGCTCTCGTCCCATCGCACCAAACACAAGCAGTGCAGCCAAGAGAGTAAATTTCGTGTGCTCCATTGGCCATTGCGCGTATTTTCTTTGTTCCATTTTGCAGATAATACAGGCTGGTTCTACGACAGTTCCTCTATATCACTCGCTCGACTAGATTAAGCATTTCTTTTACACCTAAAAGTTGACATTTAATGCAGAAAAAGAAACGAACCGCTTAATAGCAAAAGCAAGAAATCACTACATCCATCGACCAGCAGGAAGGTCAAGCAATAAATGCAAAGGGGAGGAATAACAGTATTTGACGTCATGAGCCGTATTCTAGGATTACACTGACACCTCGCGGTCTTACAGCTGTAGTGCATTGCATTCTGTTGTACGGTAACTGTTACATCAAAATGCACCAATTAAGAGAATCACGCTGCGCGTCCACATAGATAGATACACATAAATACAGCATCAATACAGAAAGTAATATAAAGCAAACAAAATAATAAAAGATCAGCACCATAAACAACGATCCACCTCTTTTCCAAGTTCAGAAACATAATTTAGTGACTGTTTTACTCCAGCTGAACAATACGCTCCTTATGATAGAGTCTTATGATAGAGATCTTACAAACTGCCGAGAAAAATAAAAATTTAAATTAAAGAAAAATGAAAAGAAAATAGGAAGAATTCGGAAATTTTTTGGAAATTAACAACATCATTTCTGTTATGTTCTTTAAATTTGCTTACCTCCCCAGAACATCTCCTCCTGCGATCTGGGATCACTAGAGTATTTCCATTACTGCCCGGGACTATAGTAGAGCCGATACTCATTCTGGGTCCAACTAACATGTACCGTTTGTCTCCAGATCTGTACTGGATGCTGTGGCACAGAGTCCCGTCGTAATTTGTATCCTGTAAATACTTCGACGAATAGTCTGTCGATTTAGAGCACTGCATTACAATCAACACGATGATGCTGATGACAAAAAGCACTGAAACCGAGCCCAAAGTGATGATCAAATAAAATGTCACATTGTTTTCCTCCTCGTCTTTTATTGTGTTTTTCACATCAGAAGCTGCAAAAGCCTCTTTGGGCTCCACAACTTTGACAATCACAGTCGCTGTCGCTGAGAGTGAAATGTTCCCATTGTCTTTGACCAGTATGAGCAGTTTATGCTGGGCCTCGTCTGTTTCTGTGAATGAGCGAAGGGTCCTTATCTGTCCTGTATAGCGGTCCAAACCAAAGAGACTGTGGTCACTAACTTCCTGCAGTGAAAATAATAACCAGCCGTTGTATCCTATATCTGCGTCATAGGCTCTGATTTTAGTCACCAAATGACCTGCGTTCACATTACGGGGAATCTCTTCCACACCCTCAGCAGAACCGTTAGCGCTGACTGGATATAAGATCACTGGAACGTTGTCGTTCTGATCCAGAATAAACACGTTCACTGTCACGTTACTGCTCAGAGACGGAGTTCCAGAGTCTGTAGCGAGAACGTGGAACTGAAACGTTTTAATTGCTTCGAAATCAAAACTTTTAAGGGAATGAATAACCCCTGTTTCTGAATTTATGTTCAAGAATGAGGTTATCTCGTTCTGTGTCCCTACACCTCTGTTTATTTGATACGATATCAAGGCATTTTCATTCACGTCTTTATCAGATGCTCTTACTGAGAATATGGAGGCTCCAGGAGCATTATTTTCAAATATGTAAAGCTCAAGGAAATTACTAGAAAATTCTGGCTGGTTGTCATTCACATCTGCTACTTGGATGCTTAGGGTTTTGATAGATGATAAGGGCGGCTGACCTAGATCTGTTGCTGTAATTGTGATGTCATAATGGGGCACAAGTTCACGATCCAAACGCCCCTTTGTCACCAGCGAGTACATATTATCTTGAAAAGATGGTTTCAACTCGAAAGGAACATTCTCTGAGAGACTACATACAACTTTACCATTAACACCAGAGTCTTTATCTGTGACACTAATCAGCGCAATTACTGTTCCAGGTTTAGAGTCTTCAGCAACAATATTAGATAATGAAGTCAGCTCAATTTCAGGTTTATTATCGTTTATATCTTGTATTTTTATAATAACTCGACCTTGAGCAGACAAAGGAGGCTGACCTTTGTCTGAAGCCTGCACATCCAGTTTGTAAACGTCTGTGTCCTCAAAGTCTACCTCGCCTTTCACCTTTATTTCGCCTGTAATGCGATCCAATTGAAATACGTCATAAACTTTGCGCTTTAAAGTTTTACCAAGCGAATATTCAATTTCACCGTTTGAGCCCTCGTCGCTATCAGTTGCCTTTATTTTAGTCACAGTCGTTCCAACTGGGGAATTTTCCTGTAAACTGACAGAATGCGTGTCTTGACTGAACACCGGGCGATTATCATTAATATCCAATACGGTAACGGTGATGTTAAGGGTACCTGATTTTGGAGGGTTTCCACCATCGAGGGCTTTTAAAATTAGCAGGTGCTCTGACTTATGTTCGCGATCAAGTGTTTTTTTCAACACTAAAAAGGGGATTTTTTCCTCATCGCTGTTTCTGATGTCAATCTCGAAATTTTCATCCTGACTCAATTTATACAAACGAACAGAATATGGTGAGGCATCCTGGTCTCGTGCTGCGTGCAGCTGGAAGCTCGTTCCTATAGGGGTGTGTTCTGCAATCTCAAAATGTTGATTCGGTTCAGAAAAACTAGGATGGTTGTCATTAATGTCTGTTATTTCTACCGCAACGTAGTGAATTTCTAAAGGATTTTCGACCGCAGTTTTTAGATTTACTACGCATGCACCGTTCCCGTCACAAAGCTCCTCTCTGTCTATGCTTTTATGAATATACAATTCGCCATTGTTCTGATTTACCTGGAAAAACGCGTCTTTAGAACCAGAGACTATACGGAATCGTCTTTCGACCAATGTACTCACGTCAAGTCCAAGATCCGTAGCAATATTTCCCACAACAGATCCCTCTTTCATTTCCTCTGGAACAGTGTATCTTATCTGAGCTGAAACCTGCGGTTCGAAGCAGAGAAGAAAACAGAAACACAAAGCCATCCACCAGTTCTCCCATCTGCGCCTTTGTTCGTCCATCGTTAAGAATTCCTTTAAAACAGCTTAAAACAAGCAACGATGGTGTTCAGTGGAAATGTTCTATTACCAGATGCAACATTCTTGATTAAATAACATCGATAACATTTTAGAATATTTCCTATATTTCCGCTTCTCGCGATATACTTGTCCGCTGCTGTCACAGTTTAACTGAACGGAACAGCCATGCGCACCACACATAGATAGGCAGGGCCAACGCTTTACTTAATATCCTCATATCCTAATGTAGCACTGACACCACATGGTATAAAAGGAGAAGTAGTAAATCTAAACTGTCACGTAAAAAAATAAATGCTCATCAACTCAAGGCATAACATTAGAACAAAACGCACAACAAGCAATCACTATGGTTCGACATAGTGGAAAAAAAGTCCATTATTTATTAAAGTATTTTTCAAACAAACTAGGAAACGAAAGTATTGCTACTATGCAAAGGTGAAACATTTCAGCACCATGGACAACGAATATCAACAATTACAATTCGATGACAATAGACCTGAGAAAGTGTTAATATAATTCACATACTCTTACCTCTCCAGAACCTCTCCTCCTGCAATCTGGGATCACTAGAGTATTTCCATTACTGCCAGGAACAATAGTAGAGCCGATACTCATTCTGGGTCCAACTAACATGTACCGTTTGTCTCCAGATCTGTACTGGATGCTGTGACACAGAGTTCCGTCGTAATTTGTGTCCTGTAAGCTCAGAGACGGAGTTCCAGAGTCTGTAGCAACAACTTGGAACTGAAACTTTTTAACAGATTCAAAATCAAAACTTTTAAGCGCATGGATAACGCCACTTTCATGGTTAATACTGAGAAATGAAGACATATCACTCTCTGTTCCATTTCCTCTAGCTATCTGATATGAGATCGCGGCATTTTCATTAAGATCTTTGTCTGACGCGCTCACAGAGAATACTGATGCACCAGGAGTGTTATTTTCCACTAAATACAACTCGAGGGGATTTTTGACAAACTCTGGTTTATTATCATTAACATCAACCACCTGCACAGTAACAGTTTTAAAAGAAGAGAGAGGCGGTTGACCTAAATCACTGGCTTTGATTGTGATTTTATAATCTGCGGTAAATTCCCTGTCCAAGCGTTCTTTAGTAATTAAAGAATACATGTTTTCCTGAACAGATGGCTTTAACTCGAACGGAACATTGTCTGAAAGACTACAAACAACCTTGCCATTAACACTAGAGTCTTTATCTGATACACTAATCAGAGATATTACAGTTCCAGGTTTTGCATTCTCGGAAATTGTGTTAGAAAGGGACGTGACGTCTATCTCGGGATTATTATCATTTTCGTCTGTGATCTTTATAATGACTCTGCAGTCAGTGGTCATCGGCGGCTGACCCTTATCCGTAGCCTGGACGGTCAATCTATGTATCTCGCTCTCCTCAAAATCGATTGGCTCTTTAATCTGAATTTCGCCAGTTACGCTATCAAGGCTAAATATTTCATGAACTTTTCGTCTACTAGTTTTTCCCAGAGTGTAAATAACCTCCCCATTTAAACCCTCATCAGAATCAGTGGCATTTACGCGTGCTATTACTGTCCCTATAGGTGTGTTTTCTGGAAGCGTTACTGAATATATATCTTTACTACATACAGGGCGGTTATCGTTGATATCAAGAACAGTAATAGTAATATTCAATGTACCTGACTTTGGGGGGATGCCTCCATCCACAGCAGTCAACACGAGTCTATGCTCTGAATTTTTCTCTCTGTCTAAAGGTTTAAGTAAGACTAAAATTGGATTATTTTCCTCTTCGTCACCCTCTCTCATTTCTAGCTCAAAAAAATTACTCTTTGCTAATTTATAAAGCCGAATAGAATGGCTTCCAATGTCAGGATCTCTTGCAGTTTGGAGCTCGAAACGTGCACCTTCAATAGTGTTTTCAGCCATTTCAAAATGCTGTTCTTTTTCGGGAAAACGAGGACTGTGATCATTCACATCTGCGATTTCTACTCCAACATAATGTATTTCAAGTGGATTTTCAACGGCGATTTTCAGATTTATCAGGCACACGCTATTTCCATCACACAACTCCTCTCTGTCAATTTTCTTACTCACATACAATTCACCGTTGTTCTGATTTACCTCAAAAAGAGCGTCTTTCGATCCAGAGACGATACGGAAACGCCTGTCCACTAGAATATTCGCATCAAGACCCAAATCCGTTGCGATATTTCCCACAATAGATCCCTCATTTACCTCCTCTGGTATAGAATATCGTATCTGAGTTGAAACCTGCAGCCCAAACCTCAGCAGCAAAGAGAAACACAAAGCAATCCACCAGCATTCCCATTTGCGCCTTTGTCCTGCGGCTTCCATCGTTAAAAGATTTATTTAAAACAATAATAATAATACAGTTTCAGATCATTTGCGAGAGTGAACTACTCATTCATGAAAGCGTGTATTCATTGTAATATCGTCGCTTTTAAATAACAGAGGAAAATGGTCATATCCAGCTTCTCGTGATATATACTGTAGCTCCCATCGCAGTGAAAATGAACAGAACAGCCATGCGCACCACATTATCAATGGGCAGGGCACAATCTCTCCTGAATATCCTTATGTAACACTGACACCACATGGTACAAACAGGTAAACATGAATTGTTATATATGCCACCTAAGGCGACCGTAAAATGACTGCCCGACACATACAGGAACGTCTGAAAGAAATAATTTAATAAATGACACTTATCGCAACATATCTATTATACAATATTTCAAATGGTAAAACTAAAGAAAGAGATAAGCACTTTTCCGACAAATTATGATAGGAAAGATTGTTATTCTACAAAGGTGAAACAATTCAGAACCATGGACAACGAATATTTATTCCATCGTTCAAAACTTAATTCCCAAGCAAACAATGAATAAATAATGCTCTTATTAGTCAGAACATAAAATAACCCACATAGTGAATTCGATCCTGAAAAAAAAAATCACAATTTGATGACAGTAAGCCTGCGAAAGTGTAGTTTAATATAATTCACATCCTCTTACCTCTCCAGAATCTCTCCTCCTGCGATCTGGGATCACTAGAGTATTTCCATTACTGCCTGGGACTAGCTTTTAACATCAGAAGCTGCAAAAGCCTCTCTGGGTTCCACAACTTTGACAATCACAGTCGCTGTTGCTGAGAGAGAAACGTTCCCATTGTCTTTGACCAGTATGAGCAGTTTATGCTGGGCCTCGTCTGTTTCTGTGAATGAGCGAAGGGTCCTTATCTGTCCTGTATAGCGGTCCAAACCAAAGAGACTGTGGTCACTAACTTCCTGCAGTGAAAATAATAACCAGCCGTTGTATCCTATATCTGCGTCATAGGCTCTGACTTTAGTCACCAAATGACCTGCGTTCACATTACGGGGAATCTCTTCCACACCCTCAGCAGAACCGTTAGCGCTGACTGGATATAAGATCACTGGAACGTTGTCGTTCTGATCCAGAATAAACACGTTCACTGTCACGTTACTGCTCAGAAACGGAGTTCCAGAGTCTGTTGCAACAATTTTGAACTGAAATGTTTTAACAGTTTCAAAATCAAAGCTCTTTAGCGCATAAATCTCCCCATTTTCAGAGTTAATATTAATGAAGGACGTATATTTGTTTTCCTCACTACTTTCTCTCCATATGTGATAGCTAAGAATAGCATTTTCATTAGAGTCTTTGTCAGTAGCAGACACAGAAAATAAAAATTTGCCTGGGACATTGTTTTCCATCACATAAAAAGCATACGGGGAAAATGAGAATTCTGGGCTATTGTCATTTATATCTGATATCAGAACAGTTACAGTTTTAACAGAAGACAATGATGGCTGTCCCATATCTTTTGCAACTAATGTGATGTCATACTGAAATTTTGTTTCCCTGTCTAAAGGTGACGTGGTAACTAATGAATATGTGCTATGTTGTGAAGAAGGTATTAGTTTGAAAGGCATGTTATCTTCTAAAAAACAAGAGATTTTGCCATTCAGCCCAGAGTCTAAATCTGTGACACTTAACAAAGCCACTGTAGTACCAGGTCTAGAATCCTCTGGAATGGCGCTTGAAAATGATGTGACCTCCATTTCCGGTGCATTATCATTTACATCAACTATTTTTATGATTACACTTTTATCCGTCGCAAGAGGAACAGTTCCTTTGTCAGATGCCTGAATGTCAATTTCATATATATCTTTTACCTCGAAATCTAAAAGACCAGTCACAATAATTTCTCCAGTGACTGAATTAACTTGAAAAAGTTCATGTAAGTTATCATCAACATTATTTCCCAATGCATAAACTACTTGTCCATTTTGACCCTCGTCCAAATCAGTAGCATTAACCTGTACAATTGTTGTGCCCACAGGTGCGTTTTCACTCAATACAACAGTGTAAGTTTCTTTCGTGAATATAGGCACATTGTCGTTTATATCCAGCACATCAATAAATATTTCTATTGAGCCAGACTTTGGAGGTCTCCCTCCATCTAAAGCAGTCAATTCTAATTTTATGTTTTTCGTCACTTCCCTGTCAAGCGGCTTGTGTAAAATCAGAATAGGAATTTTAACATCTTCTCGGTCTTTAATCTCAAGACGGAAATGGTCGTTGTGGCCGAGTTTGTAGGTTTGAACCGAATTACTTCCACTATCAGGATCACGCGCTGCCTGTAGCGGATATCGCGCGCCTGGCAGGGCGGATTCCCAAATTTCTAGCCGCTTTTCATTCTCGGAAAACAGCGGACTGTGATCGTTTACATCTAATATCTCTATAGTGACATAGTGAATTTCTAGTGGGTTTTCTAAAGCAATTTTCAGGTTGATTAAACACGGTGTGCTTCTCTCGCACACCTCCTCTCTATCTATTTTACCGTTAACATACAAGACACCGTCATTCTGATTCACACTGAACATTGACTCGCCTGAGGTCGAGACGATGCGAAATCCTCTTTCCTTTAGTGTTCTGCGATCAATACCTAAATCCTTCGCGACATTTCCCACAGCAGCTCCGTCCTTCTGCTCCTCCGAGATCGAGTACTGTATTTGTGCCCAAACTGCTCTCCCAAACAACAGCGATACAACAATGAAAGCGAGTTTCGCATTCAGCTCCAGCTGATGAGAGCGTCTTCTTTGTTCCATTTTTCTGGTTTTACAAAAACCCGTTCCAACGGAATTTCACGATCAATCTACAAATATTTGTTGTATAGTTCCATCGTTGCTCACATTTACGCTGAAGGCCAGTCAGACAATAAAAAGACGCTGCACTCAATCAATCCTGACAAATCTAACAGCACCGGTGCTGAAAATGAGAATGCACACGAATAAACTGAGAAGGCAGAACAAGAAAAAAAAAAAACTTAACTGTTTGACGTCACGAGTCTTTCTCTAGGTTACACTGACATCTCTCGATCTAACGCGTTAGTTACATTGCTCAGCAGAACCGTTAGCGCTGACTGGATATAAGATCACTGGAACATTGTCGTTCTGATCCAGAATAAACACGTTCACTGTCACGTTACTGCTCAGAGACGGAGTTCCAGAGTCTGTAGCCAACACCTGAAACTGTCCAGTTTTCATCGTTTCAAAATCAAAACTTTTAAGCGCATGGATAGCTCCAGTTTCAGAACTGACATTCATGAATGACGATAAATCGCCTTTGGTTCCATCACCTCTAATTATATGATATGAAATGACAGCATTGTCGTTCATGTCGTTGTCAAGTGCGCTAATGGAAAAAACTGATGCGCCGGGCGGATTATTTTCGAATATGAAAAGCTCGAGAGGATTCTGCGGAAATTCTGGTTTATGATCATTCACATCTGAAACCTCAATGCTTAAAGTCTTTACTGAGGACAAAGGAGGCTGCCCTAGATCAGTAACAGTTAATAAAATGTCATAATGAGCAACCAACTCCCGATCTAAAGCCTTTTGCGTCACAAGCGAATAAATATTTTCCTGAAAAGAAGGTTTTAGCTCAAACGGAGTACCCTCAGAAAGACTGCAGACTATTTTTCCGTTAGCACCCGAGTCTTTATCTGATACACTAATCAGTGAAATAACAGTTCCTGATTTAGAATCCTCGGGTACTAGATTGGATAGAGAGGTGACCTCTATTTCTGGTTTATTATCATTTACGTCTGTAACTTTTATGACTACTCTACAGTTTGTAGTCATGGGAGGCTCTGCGCTGTCTGACGCTGTGACGTCAGCTCTGTATACTTCTGTGTCTTCGTGATCAACATCACCTATAACACGAATTTCACCTGTATTCTTGTCTATTTCAAATGTATCGTACACCTTTTTCTTTAAGTTGCTCACAAATGAATATATTATATCACCATTCTTTCCCAGATCTGCGTCTGTGGCATTCACTTGTAATATGAGACTCCCTACGGGAATATTTTCAGTAATTGTAACCGAGTAAACATCTTTACTAAACACAGGTCTGTTGTCATTAATATCAATTACATTTATGGTAATGTTCATAATGCCTGATTTCTGTGGATTTCCACCATCGAGAGCGGTTAACACTAAGTGGTGCTTACTATGTCGCTCCCTATCAAGAGCTCTCTGCAGTTTAAGAATAGGGATCTTGTTGTCTTCTCCGCCATCTCTAATCTCCAATTCAAAATGTTCGTTATGACTCAGTTTGTATGTACGAAGTGAATTTGCTCCAGAATCGGGGTCGCGAGCTGCGAGCAACTGAAAATCAGCACCAGTTAAAGTATTTTCTGCGATCTTTAAATTATGTTCTTTCTCGGGGAAAACAGGTGCATGATCGTTGATATCCGTAATCTCAACGCCAACATAATGAATTTCGAGGGGATTTTCGAGAGCAATTTTCAGATTCACTTGGCAGACATTATTGTCGGCACAAAGTTCTTCTCTGTCGATTCTGTTTTGAACATAGAACATACCATTGTTCAGATTTACCTGAAAAGGAGCATCCTTAGATCCAGAAACGATACGAAATCGCCTGTCCACCAATGTACTGACATCAAGACCCAAATCCTTTGCAATATTTCCTACAACGGCTCCCTCTTTGATCCCCTCTGGAACAGAGTATCTTATCTGAGCTGAAACCTGCTGTTCGACGCAAAATAGAAAAAAGAGGCACAGAACAAACCACCAACACTCCAGTTTGCGTCGTTGTCTTCCGTCCCCCATCGCGAATATTGGAATGATTTGTCCAACAGCTAAACAGCACATTGAATGACGTGCATTTCATGTGTCGTACAGACCTGGAAATCTAACCCAAAATATGGTCCTACTCTTTAACACCAGCGTAATTATGTCCGTGCGCCTTTCCTCTGAACAGCACGCTCACACAAGCCTCTCCAATTGA